CCGTTTGAAAAGGGCGATGTTTCAAAACGCTAGCATTTTATTTTGAAGGTGTAACCGGACATTGCATATTTATTGTTGCTAACTTTACCGGACGTTCCATATATGTTGTTGCTAACTTGACCAAGCATCAATATGTGGGTCGGGAGTGAGAATGTGTGACCATAAGGAGACAGATGCAACATTTCTGAACTGTTCCGACAACAACCAGCCATTCCATAGCTAGCTGTTTAATTTATGTATGTTCAAGGTTAGCATGAATCCAAAACATCAAATTAAACTAGAGAAACGGATACTTTAGGTGATATAAGTTATAAAATTGCATCTACAATAGAATGAATGCTTGGCAAAAATTAATCAAAAATCATTTTTTGGTTGTAAAATGCACAGGTGTTGCTAACAGAGCTTGAAAAGGAAATTGGAGTCTACAATATTTATGACATCACCGCAGCTCTTTTCTGATTGGTCAAACTGACAGTGTTACAGCTAACCCAGTGTTACCACACTCCCTGGTCTCCCCTATACTTCCTGTTTGCTTAAGTGTAGCAGTGTTCATTGCACTTCATTTTTGTCCTGCTTGTCGGCAGATTCACAACTCTCCCTGTCTGCAGGAGAATCAACGATCAACACGACACCAGTCAGATAACTTTAGGGTCAACGATATTTGCAGATTTGACTAGAGGGCCACAATGACAAAAGAGGTCCTCCTGAACACTCTGGATGAACTTGGAGAAGAAGAATTTAAGTGCTTCAAGTGGTTCCTTAAAGATGAACGTCTGAAAGACTCTTCAACCATCCCGAAGAACAAGCTGGAGAACGCAAAGACGTGGGACACAGTGGATCTGATGATCCAGACCTACACACTTCCTGGAGCTGTGGAGGTGACCAAGCAGATTCTAAAGAAGAGCCAAAGGAATGATTTGCTACAGAGTTTGTTGGACACCAGCTCGGGACCACAAGGTCAGTCACAGGAAGTAGAAAACATGAAAAACACGATGGCACGGCAGTCTGAGAATTTTCAACCTGATGAAAATTAAAAACCTGATAATTGAGGAAACTCCCAAAGAGAGTGTAGAGGATTCTGCTGAGAGAGCATTTATGAAAAATATAGCACATAAGGAGCGGTTTTGAGGGGTGGAGGAAGCTGCTGCAGCAGGCAACATATGCATGAGTTTTACCAGCAGAGTAACAGTGATGAGGATCAGGCTATAATGTCAGAACTGTACACAAATGACGATGATGTTACTGCCCACACATTTGTGAATGAGCAATTGAAAGATGCTGCAGGATACAAACAGTGTCCAAGTGAAATACTCCATCTAAGTGTACCGAACCTATGAGAAGCAACACAAACATAAAGCAAGAGAGTAAGAGACAGTAATTGCATTTTGACACAAAGGAAATATTCTACAGTTAAAGTTTGTCTCCCAAACCAATTACAGCCTCAAATTACTACTACACACAAGCATGTGCTGGACAACATCACAAGAAAATATCTTTATTAACACCAATGCAAATAGATACACATACTGCAAATGAATACAGAGATTCAGCAGCATGATAGCAAACTGAGCAGCATGACGACACCTGCTAGCATTCAAATTCTACAACTACATTATTCCTCTCTCTTTCATGAATGTCAGTCATGTTGAAGAAACTCCACAGAACAGAGGACCTGCCTCTCATCAGACTGAAGGTAAAGTTACATTATAAAATGTGATTTTCAAACAAATATGGGGAGTCATTCTGTCTCAGCCAGCAGCTATGTTTATAAAAGTTTGTCAAATTTTAGATATGTAGCGACAATAAATTAATGGTTGAACTACATACAGACAGCTTTTGTTTAAGCTTGTTTCTAACAACTTGGCGAACATGCTAACTTCAATAGATTTCTCTGCAACAGATACAGTATCTCTAAGTGAGTTCACCCCTCACATGTCTGTAAATATCTGATTCTATCTTTTCATGTTCAACACTAAAGAAATGACAGAAAGAAAGTAGTGAGTGTGCAGCTTGTATAACAGTGTAAATCTGCTGTCCCCTCAAAATAACACATCACACAGCCGTTAATGTCTAAACCGCTGGCAACAAAAGGGAGGACACCCCTAAATGAAAATGTTCAAATAGGCCCAATTAGCCATTTTCCCTCCCCGGTGTCATGTGACTTGTTAGTGTTACAGGGTCTCAGGTGTGAACGGGGAGCAGGTGTGTTAAACTTGGTGTTATCGCTCTCACACTCTCTCATACTGCTCACTGGAAGTTCAACATGGCACCTCATGGCAAAGAACTCTGAGGACCTGAAACAAAGAACGGTTGCTCTACATAAAGATGGTCAAGGCTGTAAGAAGACTGCCAAGACCCTGAAACTGAGCTGCAGCACGGTGGCCAAGACCGTACAGCGGTTCAACAGGACAGGTTCCACTCAGAACAGGCCTCGCCATGGTCGACCAAAGAAACCAAAGAAAAGTGCACGTGCTCAGCGTCACATACAGAAGTTGTCTTTGGGAATATTCATATTCTTTGCACCTATTAATAACCAACGGATTAGAAACTCAAGTGTCTTAAGTTGTCCAAAACAACAGAAGTGATAAATGGGTTAATTTCCGTGCGTGCTCTCTTCATGTTGTTCTTGTAAAATACAATGAAAGGTCATCATGTAGGTAATTTTATTTATGGCAGGCGTTCACAAACGGCCCTTTAAAAATAAAGGAATAAAGGACTTTGCCATGACAAAAGGTCACTTCGGGCATCAAGAGGCAAAGTGGCAGGTGTGCACCCCCTTAACAGAGACGTTACTAACAGTATCAAATATGTTTGGTTATGACATTAAGCTGGCTCCATTGCTGTTATTTGAAAGGAAAATGTCGTTGGTTCTTAGGAAAACAATCCTAAAGAACAGAATGCTTCTATATGTGTGCACAAACAGCCTGATACTTTATATTTTTTATATTTGTGTTCAACACAGACATGATGGTTCCAATACCAGAGCCACAACCCATCACATATTACCAACACATGCTTCAATCACACTTTCAGGACAAGTTCATATGTATACAAGAAGGATGGATGCAGAAGAAGGAACGTCTGGATGATATCTACACAGAGCTGTACATCACTGCTGGGGCTGACATAAGCATAAACACACAGCATGAGGTCATGCAGATTGAGGCAGTGTTGAAGCCAGCAGAAACAGACAAACCAATTAGACCTACTGACATGTTCAAACCCCCCTCTGGAAAATACAGACCCATAAGAACAGTACTGACCAGTGGAATCGCAGGAATTGGCAAAACATTTCTTGTGAGCAAGTTTGTGTTGGACTGGGCTGAAAAAAAATCCAATCAAGATATGCATCTGATTTTTCCCTTCACCTTCCGCCAGCTGAATTTATGGGCAGGGGAAAAGTTATGTTTGACAGAACTCATTCATAATTGCATCAGGGAAACCAGAGAAATCAAGGAAGAAGCTCTTAACTACATCTTTGAAACTCTGCAGTCATCAGGAAACACCAACTATGACAAAAGTAAATTCAAACTTCTGTTTGTTTTGGATGGACTGGATGAGAGCCGTCTTCATCTGGACTTCTCTACCTGGGAAAATCAGCCAGTAAACTTCAATGTGACAGATTCCACCTCAGTGGATGTGCTACTGACAAACCTCATCAAAAGGAACCTGCTTCCCTCTGCTCGCCTCTGGATAACCACACGACCTGCAGCAGCCAATCAAATCCCTCGAGAGTTTGTCGACAGCATGACAGAGGTTAGAGGGTTCACTGACCCACAGAAGGAGGAGTACTTCAGGAAGAGATGCAGAGATGAGGAGCAGGCCAGCAGAATCATCTCCCACATCAAGACATCACGAAGCCTCCACATCATGTGCCACATCCCAGTCTTCTGCTGGATCACTGCTACAGTTCTGGAGGATGTGTTGAAGACCAGAGAGAGAGGAGAGCTGCCCAGGACCCTGACTGAGATGTACACAGAATTCTTGGTGTTTCAGATTGATCAGACAAAAAAGAAATACGGCCCAGAAAAGTGCATTCAGTACATTAAGTCATTAGCAAAACTGGCTTTCCACCAGCTGGAAAAGGGCAACCTGATCTTCTACGAATCAGACCTGAAAGAGAGCGGCATTAATGTCAGTGGAGCCTCGGTGTGCTCAGGAGTCTTCACAGAGATCTTTAAAGAGGAACGTGGGAAGAAGAAGGATGAAGCAGACAAGATGTTTAGCTTTATCCATCTGAGTGTTCAGGAGTTTTTGGCAGCTTTGTATGTAGAGAAGGCACTCATTAACAAAAACAAGAATGTCATGTCTGAGCCAGGGCAAACCTTTGGCAAGCATGTGCGAATGGTTTTCAGCAAACATCTGTGTCAGAGGTCCACAGGTTCGCTATTGACAAGGCCTTGCAGAGTCCAAATGGACACCTGGACTTGTTCCTCCGCTTCCTCATGGGACTTTCTCTGCAGACCAATCAGACTCTCCTACGAGACCTACTGAAAAAGAAAAGAAGCTCAGAGACCAATCAGGAAACAATCGAGTACATCAAGAAGAAGATCAGTGAGAATCTGTCTGCAGAAAGAAGCATCAATCTGTTCCACTGTCTGAATGAACTGAACGATTGTTCTCTAGTGGAGCAGATCCGACAGTACCTGAGTTCAGGAAGTCTCTCCACAGATAAACTGTCTCCTGCTCAGTGGTCAGCTCTGGGCTTCATCTTACTGTCATCAGAAAAATATCTGGACGTGTTTGACTTGAAGAAATACTCTGCTTCAGAGGTGGTTCTTCTGCGGCTGCTGCCAGTGGTCAAAGCCTCCAACAAAGCTCTGTAAGTGCACAGATAACTGCAGATACTCACTGTATCACATGTATAGGGTTGTTCTCAGTGTAAGAATGTCTTACTGAAAAACTAGTTTCATTGTACCACCACAGATTAATGCAGCCATGAAATGAAAACAAAATATTATACAATGTAGTTGATTTTAAGATAAAATAAATTTGTGTATTACTGGGATCAAACTGATTTGACTAAAGATCCCAATAATAAACACAGCAATAAAAACTATAGGAAACTGTATAAATGTGATGTTTTTTAGTGTTAGATGAAACAAACAGTATCAGCGTTTGTCTTTATCACTGAATATCTCTCACTATCCCCCCTTCAGGCTGAGTGGCTGTAATCTATCAGAGAGAAGCTGTGAAGCTCTGTCCTCAGTTCTCAGCCTCAAGTCATCTAGTCTGAGAGCACTGGACCTGAGTAACAACAAACTGAAGGATTCAGGAGCGAAGCTGCTCTCTGCTGGACTGGAGAGTCCACACTGCACACTGGAGACTCTCAGGTCCGGATTATGAAAACTTATAAAGGGAGAACCAGAACTGTGATTTGATGTTGTTGTCCTTTTCTTCAGTCATTGTACCACGTCTCTTTTCAAAATATGATTGTAAATAATTTAAAATACAGAGAGAAAATCTTTCACATATGTGCTGTACATATTTTCTAGGCTGAGTGGCTGTAATCTGTCAGAGAGAAGCTGTAAAGCTCTGTCCTCCGTTCTCAGCTCCCAGTCCTCTAGTCTGAGAGAGCTTGACCTGAGTAACAACGACCTACAGGATTCAGGAGTAAAGGTGCTCTCTGCTGGACTGGAGTGCCCACACACTACACTGGAGACTCTCAGGTCAGGATTGAACCATAATTCACCCTTCGCTAAGCCACGTCCCAAAACCGCAAGCTGGCTAATCACAGCACCTTATAGGACACACTCTAACTGAAGTCCGAAACCTCCATGGCAATGCTGTAGCATGCAAAAGGAGTCGTTGTCTAGCTTTTTTGCCAAGTTTTACCAAGATATGGTCAAACGCTGTTACTGGAACATTTGTAATAGTTACAATCACTACCAGGAGAGGTTGAAAGGAGAAGTACGATTTATTCCCTTTCCAAAACCTAAAATAAATGCAGAAAAATGTAGGCTGTGGATTGTTCCTAATGTAATGTTAGCTAGTTAATGCTACCTAACTTACTACTGAATGTAACGTTATATAGGCCTACTGCTTTTTCATTTCAATGTTTGCAATAGGGAATATAGACCTACACAGTTGAAAGCAACAGTGTTATCCTTAATATAATTGTCCTCTGTCTCAATGATCAGGTGATGTGGTGGTTCACTTTTACTCTGTGATCGGTAGGATATAGCTTCTATCTTTGTTTTGTTTTTTTTGTCAGTTTGACAGCCTGAATCTAACCTTGAAATGCATAATGCAAACATTTCTGTATAATTCTCTGAGAATGCTCTTTAGTTTTTCCAAAAATTAAACAATATTTCTCCAGGGAGTGCAGTTACAGATAGTGGCAGCGCCATACTAAGTCTGATAAGTCCAACCGTTTGTCAGACTCAGACACAGTCATTAGGGCTGGCGTGGCTTTGTGAAGGGTCAATTGTCACATGATGTTATCGCCATCAGTCACTGTACTACTTCTCTTTTATAAAAGCGGTGCCTACCAAAATATAATCCTAAATCATATCAAATACAGAGAGTAACGTTTTCATTTACATTATATTTATTAATTTAGCTGACGCTTTTATCCAAAGCGACTTACAATTGTTATTTATGTCAAAAGTCACACACCTCTGGAGCAACTAGGGGTTAAGTGTCTTGCTCAGGGACACATTGGTGGATGTGTAACATTTGGGAATTGAACATGGGTCTCTCACACCAAAGGCGTGTCTTATCCACTGCGTCATCACCACCCTCGCGCCATCACCACCTTATGTACATATGTGCTGTTCATATTTTCTAGGCTGTGTGGCTGTAATCTGTCAGAGAGAAGTTGTGAAGCTCTGTCCTCAGTTCTCAGCTCCAAGTCTTCTAGTTTGAGAGAGCTGGACATGAGTAACAATGACCTGCAGGATTCAGGAGTGAAGCTGCTCTCTCCTGGACTGGAGAGTCCACATTGTACACTGAAGACTCTCAGGTCAGGATTAATAAAGCTATAAAAAGTGAACTACAATTGTCACATGATGCTGTTGTCATTTTTCTTCAGTCATTGTACTACTTCTCTTTTATGAAGTTTGCAGTTTGTACCTAAATATATTTATTTTATCCCTTTTATTTTATTCTATTTTACTTATTTTATATTTATCTTAAACGTGTATTTTAGTCTTTTCAATGTTTTCTTGCTTTTATCTTGTATTGTTTCTGTATTATTGTTTTTTGGGTATTATTGTCTTTACACTTGTTAAAGCACTTTGTAACTTGTTTTTGAAAAGTGCTCTACAAATAAAGATTATATTTTTTATATATATATATATATATATATATATATATATATATAAACCTAAATCATATAAACACTGAGTAATATTTTCAAAAATGCGATGTTCATATTTTCTAGGCTGTGTGGCTGTAATCTGTCAGAGAGAAGTTGTGAAGCTCTGATGTCAGTTCTTGGCTCCCAATCGTCTAATCTGAGAGAGCTGGACCTGAGTAACAACCTAATGCAGGACTCAGAAGTGAAACTGCTCTCTGCTGGACTGGAGTGTCCAGACTGTACACTGGAGACTCTCAGGTCAGGATTAATAAACATGTAAAGAGTCAGCCATAACTGTCACATTTATGTTTTTGTCATTTATCTTCATCGTCATTACGGTACACCACTTCCCTTTTCAGACACTGATATGAAAATAGTTGCTGTCAAAATATACTGTAGGTGTAAGTAATTTCAAACACAGAGACGAATGTTTTCACATGTGTATTGTCTATATTTTCTAGGTTGAGTGGCTGTAATCTGTCAGAGAGAAGCTGTGAAGCTCTATCCTCAGTTCTCTGCACCCCATCCTGTAGTCTGAGAGAGCTGGACCTAAGCAACAACGACCTGCGGGATTCAGGAGTGAAGCTGCTCTCTGTTGGACTGGGGAGTCCACACTGTGCATTAGAGACTCTCAGGTCAGCATTCAGCTTATGTTAACAGAGAAAATGTAGCAAGATACCCAACATATTTAGGTTTTAACAGTGTAGATTATACACTGCAGTTAAAACCTTGGACCTGAAAGTCAAATGGCACACACAAGTCTCGGCCTCAGATCGTACTTTGGAATAAAATTTATTGCCCAGAAATAGCAGCCAGTGTGCAGCGGTGCATTTACAGCTAACAGCTGTGGATGGAGTTACGCTAAATTGGAGTTTTTACATGGAGCCAAAGTCGGTCTCCTCCTCTCCAAAACAAACGGACCAGCTGATAACAACAGGTTGTGTTGTGCTTCATCTAAACCATTGGTAATTATGTTTGTTACGAATATATGTAAAAAGAACATTTGACAAGAAAATGAAATCAAGTAAACAAATCGAAGTGATTTAGATTAGAAAAGGAGTGGGAAGAAGAAAAAAAACCTTATTTAATCCCACCCCCTATCCAAAAATCTAAAGCTTACAAGTAATCGACCCGCGTTCCAAATATTTGCACATCTACTTTGTTATATCCAAAAGCAATTCAAAATGTACATCAATCATTTAAACAAGAAAATAAAAAAATATAATAGGAAAGAATAAATTCCAGCAACTCAGAAATAAATGACCACAATGAAACTGAAGATAATTACTAGCCCCAGAAAAACTCATTGATTATTCACCCCCTTCTTCATCCCTGTAACCATTGAAAACCATATCTTTATAACTGATTTTAAACTGATTTATGTTTGGACATTGCTTTAGTTCCTCATTAAGACTGTTCCAGATCTTTACTCCAGAGCTTGAAATGCAAAAACATTTCCTGGTTGTCCGTATCCTGTTTGTTGTGTTGTGTTTCGCCCTTAAATTATAACCTCCCTCTCTCTCCCTAAATAATATTTGAATATTTCTTGGCAATAGGTTATTTTTGGCTTTAAACAGTATTTGGGCTGATTGATATTTCACCAGATCTGTGAATGTTAATAATTTTGACTGTAAGAATAATGAGTGAGTGTGATCCCTATACCCACCATTATGAATAATCCTTATTGCTCTTTTTTGGAGAATAGATAGTGAATATAATGAACTTTTGTAGTTGTGTCCCCAAATCTCAGCACAGTAAATGAAATATGGCTTTATTTAATACTGCAATTGATCTTGATAGTTTAGATTGTACATGATAAATGTGTGATTTCCAACTGATTCTGTCATCTATAATTAATATAATAAAAAGAAATTTATTTTCATGAACTCTCAATTATAACCCCATCTATTTGTATGTTCACCTGAATATTCATATTGTATTTTCCAAATAACATTATTTTAGTTTTATTTAAATTTAATGATAATTTATTTCTATCAAACCATATTTTTAATTTGTTAATTTCTTTAGTGACATCTTCCACTAGTTGCTGAAGGTTTTCACCTGAACAGAATATATTTGTGTCATCTGCAAATAACACCATCTTCAACAACTTAGATACTGAACATATTTCATTAATATACAAAATAAACAGTTTTGGTCCCAGAAATGACCCCCTGGGGGACACCACAAGCAATGTCCAAACATACTGACCTGGAGCTTCCCAACTTCACAAACTGCTGTCTTTTACTAAGATAACTCCTCACCCAGTCTAATACTATACCCCTGACACCGTACAGATACCTCCATTACATAATTTTTATGATCTATGGCACTGGTGATTTCCTCAATTCATTCTATTATTGCCATCAATGTAGATCTGTTTAATCTGAATCCATATTGACTGTCTGTGAGTAATTGTTGCTTATCCAAGAATGTTTCTAATCTGTTTTTAAAGATTTTTTCTAGTATTTTGGAGAATTGTGGAAGTAAGGAGACAGGTCTGTAGTTTGTGAACTGGTGTTTGCTGCCATTTTTATACAGAGGTATGACTTTGGCTATTTTCATTTTGTTTGGAAATGAACCTGTTTCAAATGATAAATTACATATAAATATTAATGGTTTTGAGATCCCCTCAATTACTTCTCACTATAGTCATGTCAATGTCATTGTAATCGGTAGACTTTTTATCTTGAATTTGCTCACAATTTCCAATATTTCTTTTTCATCCACTGGCCTGAGAAACATTGAGCTTGGATTTCTCTCTATTAATTTATTACAGTGATTTTCCCAGCTAGGTCAGGTCCCACATTTACAAAGAACTGATTAAAACTGTTAGCCACATCATCCATATTATAATAGTTCTTATCCTTATCAATAAAATACTTAGGAAAACCTACTGTATTTGTCTAGGACGATTTCTTATAATACTATTCATTATAGCCCATATTCCTTTAATATTGTTTATATTATTTATTTTTGTCATGGGTTGGCTGAGTGAAGGCTGAGGTCTGGACCCAAATGCAGACCAAAAGGCGAGGATGCAGTTCAAAAGGATTTAATTACTCAAAAAAAAAAAAAACTGAAACAAGCTTACGTGGAAGCATAAGGGTAAGACCAAACTGAGGTAAATCCAACAAACACAAGGCAATCCAAAAACCAGGGAATATTCCAGGGAACAGGGAAAACACCCACATCACACACATTTACCTTCCATTGACCCCATACCCAAGAGGCTGGAGGCCCCTAGTGAGATTAGTTACAAGACAGTGTTTTAAAGATGGTTCTCATGAAATTCCCATTACACGGAGCACAAGGCAGAACACTCCCCATAGACGAAGGATGTGACCAAGACTGAAGAGACAAGCAGGCATCCAGTATATAGACACAGGGACCAACGAGTGGGGCGGGAGCAACACAGGTGAGGGGGGCTCAGGACTAATGAGACGCAGGCAGAAAGCCACAGGGAAACTAATAATAACCAGGAAGAAACAGAATAACCCCCCTCCCCCCATTCACTTACATGCATTTTCCAAGTCCGATTGACACCAAATTGGGTCAACTGTTCCCCATGGGGCCCTGATGACACCTGAAAAATTTGGTGCACTTCGGCCAAAAGGTGGCGCTATAATCGAAGCTCAAATACCATCAGACAATCCCATTCATTCCACAGGGATTTTCAACTAAAGGACATTTTGCCTCATAACTACAGCCCACTACATGTTACTACATTCATAAACCTTATGTCTACTTGTTTGGGGGATGCTGCCGATTGCGATATATATAGGACACGCCTCTGTGCGATGACGTTTTCATTTAGCAAAATCGCGAAAACTGGAAAACCTATTTTAATTAAATCCTCCGAAGCCGCAAGTCCGATCAACACGAAACTTGGCATGGACCATCGCTGGACCAAGCCGAAGAAAGTTTGTAGAGGGAATTTTGATCCAACAAAAAACGGCCAAAAGCTAAACATCTTACGTTTGCAATGTCCGATCTACACCAAACTCGGGGACCTTATCTGGCATGGCCTCCCAAGAGCCTGTGTGAAATTTTGCATCAATCGGCCTCCAGGTGGTGCAATAAAATGGAAATAAAATAACACTGCCATATACATACATTCATTTCAGATCTTCGTAACCGCAAGCCCCTTTCATTTAAAACTCGGTCGTTTATTCTCCACAGGCCCCCGAGCCATGGCGGGTTCCATGGACAATAAATCATGGCGGGCATGGGCCCGGGTCTGCTATATTCTTTTATTGGACAATTTTTGTCATATAAATACTTAAAAGGTTCTAAGAATCTGTCATATGCATTGTTAATGTCTTTTCCTGATATATTCTATTCCAGTTCTGTGCCAATTTGTTGATAGATTCGTCTAAATTCGGTTTGCTTGTCGGGCTTATTAAGCCTATATTTGAAATCATCAACTTGTCTTTTAGACTCCATCCCAACTAGGCTGCTTAAAGAAGTTTTACCCTTAGTCAGCACTACTTTACTAGACATGATGTCTTTATTAACAGTCTATGCCAGCATTGCTGCAGAGGTTGAAGGGGTGGGGGGTCAGCCTCTCAGACCATACGCCACACACTGCATCAAATTGGTCTGCGTGGCTGTCGTCCCAGAAGGAAGCCTCTTCTAAAGATGATGCACAAGAAAGCCCGTACACAGTTTGCTGAAGACAAGCAGACTAAGGACATGGATTACTGGAACCATGTCCTGAGACCAAGATTAACTTTGGGTAAAACTTTTATTTGCTAAAATCCCTGATTTGATCCTGCCTACTGTATGTTTGGGACAGGCCTTTAATTCATTTTGCACAAAACTGTAACTACTATGAAACAGTTTATTTATTTCAAACAGAATAATACTTGTATACACGTCATTCATTTGATCTAGCTCTGAAGCTCTGAAGGTTTTTTTGTTCTACATCAACATGGTGCAGGATGAGAGAAGTTAGCAGACAGAGAGCGATGGACTTCACACGACAGGATTCACAACTTAGAATAATTTTTATTCCAACATGATAACGACCCCAAACACACCTCCAAGAACGACCGCTGCCTCACTAAAGAAGCTGAGGGTAAAGGTGACGGACTCGCCGAGCAGGTCTCCAGACCTGAACCCTGCTGAGCATCTGTGGGGCTCCTCAAACGGAAGGTGGAGGAGCGCAAGGTCTCTAACATCCACCAGCTCAGTGATGTGGAGGAGTGGAAGAGGACTCCAGTGGCAACCTCTGGTGAACTCCATGCCCAAGAGGGTTAAAGCAGCGCTGTAAAATAATGGTGGCCACACAAAATATTGACACTTTGGGCCCCATTTGGACAATTTCACTTAGGGGTGTCCTCACTTTTGTTGCCAGCGGTTTAGATATTAACTCACCGCGCTAGTTTTTCGCTTTATTGTCTGGTAGCAACTTGCCACCATTTTCTTTGTTTACACAGGCCACCATCTCAAGTTATTCAGCTGTCAAGTATTCGTTCCTCGGTTTTGATACAGTCTATGCTCTCATTCACATCAAACACAGTCACTGAGTTATCAATACATTAAGTAAAAAGTAGTTTCAGAACCAATTGGAGCATAGACCATAGCTATGCTTACATTTCCTAGTCAAAATACTTTGCTGATGAAGGGAAGAATTTTACAGCAGTGGACTGATGGGGTAATTTAATATTTTGATAATTTGAATCATTAATTATGAATTCACACTGACAAGGAAAGAATAGATAAAAATATATTATGTGTGTGTGTGTGTGTGTGTGTGTCTTCAGGCTTTCAGGATGTCTTATCACAGAGGAAGGTTGTACTTCTCTGGCCTCAGCACTGAGATCCAACCCCTTCAGTCTGAGAGAGCTGGACCTGAGCTTCAACCATCCAGGAGACTCAGGAGTAAAGCTGCTGTCAGCTGGACTAGATACACTCAGGTATGAACAGGCAACAAGAGCTCACACACTGTTTCTCTGTCTGCCTGACAAGCTGAGAACTCTTGGTTCACAGTCTGAACCAGCACCCCTGCAGATAACAGTGGAAACAGTAACAGATGTGCTGAGAGTCCATGTCCCCACTGAGAATGACCTCCTAACTAATATCAGACCAGCAGACCAGGATCAGGTCTTTATCATTTAGTGAAATGCAAATATGACAAATATAGTCAAGCATTTATAAACCATAATGCAAAATCATCATCCATCCATTGTCGACCGCTTATCCTGCGTACAGGATCGTGGGGGGGCTGGAGCCAATCCCAGCTGACATCAGGCGACAGGCGGGGTACACCCTGGACAGGTCGCCAGTCCATTGCAGGGTCACACATAGACAAACAACCACTCACACTCACACCTAAGGACAATTTAGGGCAACCAATCAACCTAGCCTGCATGTTTTTAGACGGTGGGAGAAAGCTGGAGCACCCGGAGAGAACCCACGCAGACACGGGGAGAACATGCAAACTCCACACAGAAAGGCCGGGGCAACCGGGGTTCGAACCCCCAACCTTCTTGCTGTGAGGCGACAGTGCTAACCTTCAGATTTTAACCGTCTTTTTAACTTTTTAAAGCAGTGTGGAAAGTCCGTTTTTATCTCTGGTCCCATTCCCACAGTTGGTCGCGGTGCTGGCCGCTTCAGTAGACTCCTTGGCCTCCACGACTGGCTCCAGTCCGCCTGCAGGGCTCACCGTGTGTTTTATGTGGATAATTTTAATATTTCTGGCAAAGAATGTCTCTTTTTAAGACAGACGGACTTCGCCCAAACAAACGGGGCTCAGAAATGTTAGCTGCGCACATACAGCATGTGGTGCGGTCCACACATGACTTATATGAATGACTAATCATTCATGCAGCACACCTGGACACACCACCGCTCACTGAACAGATCTCTGGCTCACTGCCACAAACAACTGTCTCCACCTGCTGGCATGTAAAGCCGTCTGCTCCCAGCGCTGTTCCACAGACTTCTATTCCTGTCATCATCACACATAGACCAGTAAACCGAAATGTGCACATCCCACACAGCAATATTAGTAATCTCTTAAGGATTAGGACAACTGCACCAACTCCAGCACCCAGAACAAACTCATTTAAAATGGCTCTCTTCAATGTGAGATCACTTTCAAGTAAGACTTTTATCTTAAATGATTTTATCTTGTATGGAAATCTAGATTTTATGTTTTTAACTGAATCCTGGTTGCAGATGAATGACTATAGCCAGCTAGCTGAACTGTGTCCGCCTCAATATGATTGTTTTAGTCAACCGAGGGTCAGTGGTCGTGGTGGTGGGCTAGTGAGCGTGTATAGGAAAAATTTAAATGTCATCAAGTACGCTGTGATGAATTTAACTCTTTGAAGTTCTCACTCTTAAAGTTGGAGGGCTGCAACCTATCATATTTGTTATAATTTATCGCCCCCCAAAACCGCCTGGAGGATTTTTATCAGAACTTCCTGAATTTTTATCTACTCTGGTTTTAAATTATGACAGAATTGTTCTTTGTGGCGATTTTAATATTCATGTTGATGACCCCACCAATGTTAATGCAACTAACTTTTTAAATATGGCCACTTCTTTTAACTTCAAACAACATGTCAGAGGGCAAACCCATAACCGTGGTCATACCCTATTTGACCACCTGTCAAATAGGAAGTTTTGTGTGTCTGTAAACAACTATGTCTCTTTGTTCTGTCCAGTTAAATATGGTGTGCCTCAGGGGTCGGTCGTAGGACCCATTTTGTTTTCCTTGTATCTGCTTCCCCTTGGACATATTATCCATAAACATGACATTTCTTTTCATATTATGCTGATGACACACAAATATACTTGCCCGTCAGATCCACAGACCCTGGAATGCTGAGTTCACTTAACAACTGCCTTTGTGAAGTTAAAAAATGGATGTCAAATAATTTCCTCCAGCTGAACTCAGACAAAACAGAAATCCTGGTCATCGGGTCTCAGCAGATGGCAAATCAAATACTGCCATCTGCTGGTTCCCTAGTAAATCGCATTAAGCCTGTGGCAAAGAACCTTGGTGTTTGGTTTGATAGTAATTTAAATTTCGAGAAGCACACAAAGCTTGTTCAATCATGTTTTTATCAACTTAGCAAAAATTCGATCTATGTTAACTTTTAAGGACACCGAGACCATTTTACACGCCTTCATCTCATCACGCTGGATTATTGCAACAGCCTTTTCACCTGTTTAACCCAAAAATCTATTGATCGACTCCAGACTGTCCAGAACTCAGCTGCCAGGCTTTTAACCAGAACAAAGAAATATGACCACATTACTATATTTAGCTTCATTACACTGGCTCCCAGTATGTTTTAGAATTGACTTTAAAATTCTATTGATCACTTTTAAAGCTCTTCATGGCCTCTCGCCTTGTTATATTTCTGACCTTTTAGTCCCATACGCACCAGCACGTACCTTGAGATCCTCGGGCAGAGGTCTGCTGTCTGTTCCAGAGTCTCGACTGAAAACTAAAGGGGACAGAGCGTTTGCTGTCAGGGCCCCGAGGCTCTGGAACAGCCTGCCCGAGGAAATCAGGTCGGCTGAGTCAGTGAACTCTTTTAAGTCCCTTCTTAAAACATACTTTTATAGGAGAGCTTTTCCCGATCTTATTTGACTTTATTTTATCCCTTTTATTTTATTGTATTTCACTAATTTTATATTAATTTTTCATGCTCTTGTTTTTTTGTATTATTCTTTACACTTGTTAAAGCACTTTGTAACTTGTTTTTGAAAAGTGCTCTACAAATAAGGATTATATTATTATTATTATATTATTATCGCACCACCGTGCCGCCAGCAAAATCATCAAGAGGTTCAAATTTATGCTTTACCTTGGAAACTGCAGTTGACAAAACAATCTCAGGTAAAGGTCCATTTAGTAGCTGTTCTGGAGTTTATTAGGAAAGTTGTTATTAAAGGCTTCTTAAGATAATGCCCAGCTCATGAGAAATCACACTGATCCAGATGGTTTGAAGTTAGGAATTTAAATATAAAATGAGTTCTTTAGTTAGAACTAAGATTTCTCATCTTTTTCCAAATTTGACCTTGGTCTCCCCAAACTTCCACCTGCTCTCAACATTTCCTCCATGAGGTAAAAAGATTCAGGAAGTATACAAATATTGATGGGGCTAAAATGAAGACAGACTCAGTGATCTTCATGGAAGGAGCAAAGTTTTCAACTTAAAACTTGGTCACGATGCAATCTTGTTTCACATAATCTCAAAATAAGAAGTGCCCCAGGTTAGGCTACAGGGCAGAGGTTTTTTTTACAAATCAAATCCAACTGAAAATAAATTGCAGTATCAAGTACTTTATGTAAGTCACGTGGTGTAACGCTGTGTTTCTAAGAGAATGAAAATGTAACTGTTGTGGGTACATTGGGGGGTATATTTAGGGCCCTAGCAAGAGAAATGTGCAAGGACCCTATTGGAACTGAAGGCATTATTTTTTGGTCTTTCCTTCATCTCATCCATTCTGCCTTTCACTTCCTACCTTAAGGTCTTTTCACATGGGAAGCAACACTCCGCCTGCGTAGTCACCTGGCCCCGCGAGGTTGCTCTGCGCTTCTCATGTGAACAGACACCGAGACAAGCGCTCCGCGAGTAAACGGAAGGCACTCTGTAGATAGTAACCACGGCAACGGCTTCTGTGCGCTACTGTATTCCTTCATAGCCTAGCTTAACGTGAAAGTATAGGCTAAGTAACGTTAGCTGATAGGCTATATTATTATATAGGCTATAATTCATTCATATAGCTGATAAATCCCTCCTGTTAATGTCCTGTTAATATATTTCAGGGAAATCACAGATGGAGAGTATCAGTCCCTCATCCTGCTACATCCTTCTACTGTATTCCTTCATAGCCTAGTTTAAAGTAAAACTAAGTAACGTTAGTTGATAGGCAATATTATTATATATATATATATTATATATTCCTATAGCTGATAAATGCAAATGCCCTCCTGTTAATGTCCCAAAACTGTTCAGTGAACACATATATTTCAGGGAAGTCACAGACGGCGAGGATCAGTCTCTCATACATCTTTTTGTGCTGCGTGTCACGTAGGCTACAGAAAGTTCAAGTCAGTTCAACTTTGGCAGGGGCGGGCGTGTGCGTGAGACGAACATGAATGTTTCAGTATGGTCTTCAGCCCTGGTCTCTCTTGGAACAACAGTGGAGCGCTTGCGAACACCTACTCGTAACTCCACTGGTTGGTTACCATCCAGGCGACATCAGTCAGGTCGATCTTCCCAGGCTTTTTCCAGGCCTCCACAACCACTTCTGAATCATCATCCTCTTTAATCTGGCAAACCAAGAGGGATATGTTCTCCAGTGGAACCCCTCTCCTTCAAGGATTTAAGAAGGTTCCCCCTTTTCTGGATACAGGACCTCATATGTGGTTGGGGTCATTTTCCTAACCACAGTGAGTGGGCCTTGTCACTTAGCCATAAGTTTGCTTGAAGAAAACGGTCCTTCTGACCTGGTTAAAACTATCAGGCTTTCTGGGGCTTCATGGAGGTTGTGACGGCCTTCCTTCCTGTGCTGCTCAGGTGGTCCATCATCTACATGATGATATACAAGGTCCTTGCCATCAGGCGCCTCAGACTCTGCTTCAGCAAGTCCAGTGGTCAAGAGCCATACAAGAGTTTGAAAGCTGAGAACCTTCCCTGTTGGCACAAAGAAGAAATGGTAGCCACTCTTTCCCTTTAACTGCCACAAACCTGAGCATACATTTCAGCATATGGTTGAACCTCTCCACCAGGCCATCAGTCTCAGGGTGGTAAGGAGTACCTGCAGACAGCCCATTAGACATGACATGAAGTTTGTTCTAATGTATGTACCGGTACCCTGAGCTACTTTTCTCCAGTGGCCCCATGATATCTATGGCTCTACAGCTGAAGGGGTGGTGATCATGGGCATGGCCTGCAGAGGAG